TTTTTAATATTATAAAAAAATAAAAACAATTACAATTATTTTATTTTAAAACTACCATCACTGAGAGAATCAGGTAGGAGTGTGAGGTCTGAATAATGGCCTCTGATCAAGTTACAGGTCGCCCAGTAGTAGGAGAACCGGAATGTAGTTACAATGACAGTCATGAGAATTTATGGCTAAATCTGAACACGGGAAGTGGGCGTGGGATGGAGCGGGAAAAAGAGATTGACCATGTGGTGGGGGGTATCTTAGTAAATGCTCTAGGGCAGGGATTCTTAACCGTTTTTGCAGCGTTGCAGTCCCACATACCTCCCCAACCGTATAAAATATGTTGTAATAAAATTTAAAATAATTAAATAATTTAATTAACGTAGATTTTATTTCTTTAATTAACTTTTTATAAACAGGGGAAAAAATACCAATACACAAAATGCGCCAATGAAATTCATAATTGACTGCTGCTAATCAAAATCCATACAAACTTTTTTTTTTTTTTTGAAGCAATTGCAGCAAATAGAATCAGTGGCGTAGTTAGGGTTGGTGTCACCCGGTCCGGTAAGCTTGTGGTGTCACCCCCTCCCCTTTTTACGATGTATTTCTTCTTGTTAAACTTAGTCCACAGTATAAGTTAAGAAATACAAGAACAAAAACAAATTATTTGAAGGTCAGGGGGTAAATGTATTTAAGAACTGCAACGTTCTTTGAATTGCCCATTGTTATCAAAGGATAGTTGTATTTATCAGAATTTAGATACAAATAACTTCCATTCACTTACAAAAGTTACCGAATACTTAATTTGGCATTGAAACATGGTCAAAACTGTGTGTTTCTGACCTAATAATAAGGTAACCTAATTGCTGACGCATCAACCTTGACATTTTAATATAACGAAACATGTATTTTGATTGGTTATATGGGTGGAAAATGTATGTGTCATCTATTATCCTTTTATGAATTTCGGTTAGACCGATCAGTGTGTGCTCTTTAATTACACTATCTTTAAATTTGGTGTCACCCCCTAAGATGGTGTCAGCCGGTGCGATCCACACCCCCTAGCTACGCCACTGAATACAATTTTTTGGTCTTCCACACCTCAAGGCTGGGGAGCAAGTTGTACCCCTGGTTAAGAGCCACTGATCTAGTGAAGTGAAAATGTTTCTGACACTGGTGCAGTAATTTGATATCCATGGATGGAAGGTGAATTTCTTAAGGGTTTGTAAAGGACAGTAGTGGACACAAGGACTTTTTATAGGGGGGAGGGGGTGCAGAGATTTGTGACGTTTTATTTGAGGGGGGTCTAACATTTTGTGACGATGGGGGGAGGGGGGGTTAAAAATCAGAAAAATTTTCGTGACGTCATTTATGGATGGCCCCTAATACACTCACGTCATATTAATTAAAATGGCATATGTTATTGTAGTAGTGATAAGAAAGTACAAAATAACACAAATACCCGTATTTAAATTAAGCTTTTAACTTTTTAAAATCCTTCATTATTAACTTCGCTTTTGTTAATGTGTCTGGCTGGGTGGCAAAATCTTCGGATGGCTAATTGACCCACTTCCTGTCAACCTATGGAGATGAAACTTGGCACATAGCCTTGTTGCTGATGACAATGTATTCTATCAAATTTTTAGCCCCAACCTCCAAAGTCAGTTTTTCAAGGGGAAGATGAAGGAAATATGATGTCATTGAATTCACGAAATAAAATTCCCAATAACTGAGCTAAATTCTTAAAAATATCTTAAGTGCGTTTGGTGCATAAAATTTTCTTTTGTTTTTCTGAAATAGTGAAAAAAATCTGTGGTGCAAAAGCGGGTGGGAAATTAGAATACGGTTATTAATATAATAGGATTTATACGAAAAACTTTGTTTTTAGGGATTGTTTATAATTACATTTAAAATACGTCCTTCTCCAAAAAAATGGTGGTGATTACAAATATTAATTTAAGTTATTCTGTTGGCATTCTTAAGAATGGGTGAAATGCAATTTACTAACAACATTAATTTGTAAATACTGAAACAAATTAAATACTCAATAGGGTTTGACAAATGCTAATCTTTTAAATCTATTTTTGACTATTATTCCCAAAGTCACTTACAACTTTGTCATCTGTAACTTTAACACTTAGTTTACCATCACAATGTCTATACTTGGTAACAAATCGACACTGAAAATATAAGAAAATCATCATTTATTAATCTTATATATTTTGTAACTTTCTAAATCATTATCAATTTGTGCCAATGGCTTTTGCAACCTCCTATGGCCTTTAAAATTTGAATCTTGAAAAAAATNTTATTGAAATGCTACAGTTAACTTTATAAGCTTTACAAAGATTTTGCGTTTCATCTTCACGACTTTACAGCGCGACATGTTTGTTTTTACAAAACAATTATTTATTCGACCTCCACCCCCCCCCACATTTATCTGTAGATTAGTGATTATTGGCTTTTATTCAAAATCTTTAAATTTGTTTTGAAAAATAAATCTATCTTTAAATTAGCCATGCATTTAAGGCCACTTTTGAAAAGGAATATTATATAAATAGCCTTACAGATTTCCCTCCACAAACGAGGAGTTGCATTTTTAAAGTCTACATAATATATAATTTTTAGCCTGTCTATGATATGACGTCTATGTGAACTATGTGGTTTGTTAATGAAAATAATTTAGAATTTAGTAGTGTTACAAAAGGGAGGATTGAGTTCGTGTTGAAGCAATAAGAAATATAAAACACGGGACTGTGGGGAACCTGAAAAAAACAGACGAAACAATATGTTGCCTATGCAGAGTAGCCAAGCATTTATTATGTTGTTTTTTTTTTAAATTAATCCACCAAATTAGTGCCACTTGCACCAGGCCAACTCGTACTTTCATAAAATAGTAGGCCTATATTTCTGATTCTGATTAATTATGAACGATATCTGTACGGAATTTTTAGAAATTAATGTAAGAAATAATTAGTCCACAGGACCTAGCTTAAAATGAAATACAAAATGTTGCCTACGTATAAAAATGGTTGGGCAAAGCCTGAAAAATAAGGGACGCAACGAAGCAACTAACGTGTCAACAAGAAATCTTCGTCAGCGCACAGTATAAAGAACAGAGGCGTAGCGAGAGTGTTTGGCACCCGGGGGACAAGATTCATTTTGAAGCGCCCCTTTTCTTTTTTTCAACTCTCAAACCCATTCTTTTCATCAAAATAATATCAAAAGCACATTTTGGCGCCTGATAAAAGAGTATTAAAGAGTAACACATACAAATACAACAAACATCGACTTTTGTATTTACCATCAAATCGGCGTTTATTTCATTTTGTTTGTAAACTTTTTATTTCAAGCAGTTAAGAGCTCTCACAATCAATGGTTTTGATTCATGACACACATAAAAGACTTTCTCGGACCAATTGCGATCAGGTTGACACAGACACTGCTGGCGCTGACCACGTCACCACTGACAACTTTAAAGTATGCAAGAAATTACATACACATATTCTTCAACAGTTCGGTGCAAAATATGTATTAAATTAAAACAGCTAAATTGGCAAACAATTCAAATGCAACATTTCACAGAATTAGTCTGTTTCCATGTTGTTGTTTTTTTTAATATTTAATTTATATAATTAATTGCACTGTTTTAAAATGGTCAGAGGATCTACTATGGCGTCGAGTACTGCTGGATCGCATGGAAACAGGGTTTCTGTAAAAAAAAAATTTGAAGTGGTAAATACATATAGGCTATATTTTGGGAGGAGGGCTAAATGGTGGATTCCCTCTTTATTGTTCACAGGACTCGACCCCTGGATCTGATTAATTTTTTTCGTCTAGTTTGCAACTGGGCTTCCAAAAATTTAATCCGGCTCTGATAAACCTGTTTTAAATTTAGTTGAAAAAGCGAAAAAAGTAAAGTACTTTTCATTCTCAGACCTAAAAAATGCATGTCAATCATTTTAAAGACATTAGTTACTACGCTGATTGTCAGCATCAAAGGAGAGTCAGGGACAGACATTATATAATTTTCCCCTACACCAGGGATCGTCACCCTACGGCACGCGTGTCAGACTTGGCACGCGGGGCGATTTTCAATGGCCGTGGACGACAAAAATATGAATAGGCCTACATGACTTAAACAATGCATCTTATAAGCTAGACCTCTTATTGGATTTGTGGCACCCAGAAATAATAAGAAATCATACTTTATCACATCATTACTGAAAAAGGTTGATGACCACTGCCCTATACAATAAAAAGAGAAAATATCTTTAATCTAACTTTCAAACCGAGGTATCAGCAGAGCTGGAGCACCCTAATTGACTGGCTGCATCCATTGGCCGTTGCTTATTCAAGGGGAAAGTAACTGTCAAAAGTCAAATTACTTTGTGCCATTCATCACAAACAACTGGTTGCTTAAACAATAATAATTTTTAAAAACCCCAAACAAACCCACCCAAGGACATGTTAATAGTGCAGTGTATTAAATTTTAAGATCACGCTCTTAAACTCCTAACTCGCTGTGTTGAGAATGTTGCAGTGTTTGCCGATTCATTTTGACATTTGTTGGCACAAAGCCTTCTCTTGGTGCTGACACCCAATCTGTAATCCATAGTTTGATTTAAAATTTATTTACTTATTTTTTTTTAGTAATACGGGGTGTATATTACGGGTACTACATCCCATCATAAATAAAAAAAAAAAAATTAAAAAAAAACTTTAAAAAAAAAAAAAAAAAAACAAAAACAAAAAAAATAAAAAAATATGAAAAAAAAAAAAAAAAAAAACAAAAAAATACAAAACAAAAAAAAAAAAATTTATTTACTTATTTTTTTTTAGTAATACGGGGTGTATATTACGGGTACTACATCCCATCAAAAAAAAAAAAAAAAAAATTCAAACAAAACTTTGAAGAAAAAAAAACAAAAACCCAACAAAAACAAATTAGCAACTGTGGAAGAATGTAAATAGACACACGGAAAAATACAAAACAATATAAAAAAATATATGAACTCATATTTCTTTAATTCATTAAAGTTATACCACAGTACAAATAAAAAAACCAATTAGAAAAAAATAATAAATGGATGTAACAATTTAAAATGTTTTCCTTCATTTACATGCTCAGATTACATATTACACTGTAATTACAGCTACAGTGACAGGATACTATAATTAAAAAGGAATACAAGAATGATAAACAAACTTATGCTCAACAGATATCCTTACTGAATATTTTTGAATACTTATAATTTTTAAAATAATAGATACATTTTAATATCAATTATTTAAAAAATTTATAATCCAAATTATGGTCTACTGAGAAATTAACAAGTTCATAATTGTTGAACACCCAAAAGTTTATTACCTGTAATTTTAAATTTGTCCCATCACACACAAAAAAAGCATATGGCAAAATAAAAAAGTTTACCAGTAACTTAAACAGTTTTTTGCAATAATTAATATTCTTTGGGTTTATTTTTTTAATAAAAATTTAATTATGCAGTTTAAGAACCAGTAGTACTGGGAACATTATTTTATTTGAGTCACCACAAAGCAACTTTTGGACACTGTTTTTGGATGTAGCAACTTTAATGCTAAACTTGGTTACCAGGAAAATTGATTGACATTGATTGAATGTGCGACAGAAAAATCGTTTGCCAATACATTTATGTGTCCTCGAAGATCAATTATTGTATTTTGATTTTTCTGTGAGCCAAGCTAAATAAAGTGTTTTCAGTTAACAACTTAATGATGAGATCTTTCAACAACTGTCCTCATATTTAAATTTCTAATATTAATTAACAAAACTTAAACAGTGTTTTATTCCAAATACAAAAAAAAACAACAAAATACAATGCAAACAATACATAATTAAATATATTGCACAGGTAATCACTGGAATGGCATCTTCAGGAGTTGACAAAAAGGAATGTGCAATACAGATTGTTTAAACCATTACAATTTTATCAATGGAAACATGCAAAGAAAATGAGTGTACCCTGTAAGCATCTTGTTAATGGGTACCATTTGTTTTATGATAAATACGTTCAAAATGTTAGTGATTGTCTATTCTTAGACAAACATCCAGCTGACTTTCCTTACTAGGGTCCTAATTTAAGATTGCCTCAAACTTTTAAAATATTTTTTAAAAGATAACAGTGAAAACGAACTAATGCTTTCCTTGTGCTAAAAGAAATTGAATAACCATCAAATTGATATTATAAGAAATACTGTAGTCTGAGTGTGAGGAGTAAAGATGTAAATAAACCAACGAAAAATTATGTTCACGGCTGTGACAGAATAACACAGGCAATTTTCACAGCTTTAATCCTTTAAAAAATTAAAATAAAAATATATCAGGAAATAACATTGTACATGTACCTGGAAATAAACATTGATCCGATTCAGCATGTGGTATATGACAAAACTCTAGTATTTGACACTCTAGATGCTATTAAGACAGCTTTTAGTGTAAGTGCACATTTCTAGATACCCCCATATAGACTATAGGAACAGAATCTTGGGGAAAATCAAATATGCTTACTTGGCTTTTACATGAACCTACCATATGGAATTTTAACTGAACAATTTCATTTGGACTAAGTTTTAATCTTTTTGAACTGCACTGATAAAAGTTAAAACAAATTCAGCTAAGCGCAGAGAATAAATTGAACATTTTAGAATTCATTTCTTTAAAGAAATTTTTAAAATTAAAATACATGAAAGGAAATTTAAACTTTTCAATGACTGTGCCCTGTGTGTTATCAAGGCACTAGCATTAAAAATGCATTGTTATTTGATTTACAAAGTTAAATTTATATCAGTTACCCATAACTCACAGTTGTATAAAGTACGGTAACCAAAAATAAATAAGCTTTATACAAAGAATTTGAGAATAGTAAATTCAAGCAAATTTTGAATTTTTTAAAGTATTTATATTTCTATTTAATAATGTTTTCAAAAGCATGCAGTTAAATATTGATACCACAACTCAAGAACTTTCAAAAATTAACACTAATAATTCACAACTTTCATCAAATCTGTCTCAATTAATTTGAATAGATAATTTAAGGTACATACAATTTTTTAAAGAAAATAAGAGAATGAAAAATAAATAAAATAAGTTAATAAAATAATTTTAAAAAAAACTTTAAATATTGAAATACAATTCACATGTTTTTGGGCTGTTGGGGAGGGCTCAAAGGTTCAATACTGGAATGGTGGAATAGGTGTGTATGAACAGTCCCCTGATTAGGGGGCATAAAATTTGCCATGTCCTGGGCACTGGTTACCAATGCTATACCACTGCAGTGAAGCAACACCAAAGTGATATTTTAATTTTCAAATTAAGAAATGTCTTATATTCCTTATTCATTTGTAACTTAATCTTATATATATACTTGCCATATTCAAAGTTTAAAATAGGAGTGGAAACAAAGATTTGCAGGCGGCTATAATGAAAACTGTGATGGCCATAGTGTAAGTATGGTTGCAGTCAGTTATTGTTTGCAGCAGGAATAATAGGATTTCATTAAGTCTGCCTACTCCCTGGGAAATTACAAAACTTAAAAAGCAGCGATCTTGTCTTTGACTAGTTTCACAGTTTCAGCGAGGCAGGGAGTTGCATGGGAGTGATAACAAGCCTATGGCATATCTCATTGAAATATTATCTCAAAATGGATTATTACAGACAGTCACTGATTTGAAATGTTTATTCTCTACAAAGAAAAATCACAGCTGGGCAAATAGCCACCTTTTTTCATGGGGTTAGTAAGCTGCCATAATTTGTATAGTTAACATATTTGTATAATGAAAACTAAAGAGATAAAAAACAAGAAGTCTAATTCAACTACTCGTAAGCATAATTTACTTGCATTTTAAAAATGGATTTGTCTTGAATGTATCGTAACATTTAAATCACAAAATAATCAAATGTTATTATTTTACAAAATAGAACCTTAGAATTTATTAATTTTATTTATTTAATCAGGAACAGCTTTATTTACTTAAGTTTTGTATAGTCCAGTGGCTGTGGTTGTAAAGCATGTTCATAACAACTTTTTCTGTGAGATCTTTTATCATCCTCAAAGTTATGCCCATAACATGGTGAAATCCACAATTCTTACCGAATTGATATTATTTAAAAAATTCTTAAAATAAAAAAAAACAAAAAATTTGGAAACAATTTTTCTTTAAAAGTCTCCCCTGATTTTACTATAGAGCCATTTTACAAAAACAAGAGACAAAATTAAAGAAAAACAGCAAAGTACTGGTATATTAATATTTACCATCATTCAAAACTAAATCAAAAGATAAATATTTGAATTTTTAAAATAATTAGTTGAAAATGTATACATTTACGTTTGATTAAAATGAAACACACTGAAATTAAATGTTAAACTGCAAATATATATTTATATTATTAATGCATATTTTCATCAATGATCAATTTAACTAAAATCAGATCGTAAGGGTACATCATGAATGCAAAGAGCGTATTTATTAAATTTACAACACAAATAACTAACTCCAAGAGATAAACATAAGAAGCTGAATATTTTGTTATAGAGCCATGATTAACTAACAATGTAATGCACAAATAATATATGAACATACATCTAAACCCATTGGCTGCTGTCAATTCATCTTAAATAAATGAAAGATTTGCTTTTTTTGAATCACTCTTCATCGTAAACTTTAACATATATAAAATGCTTAAAGACACCTTTTAAAAAAATATCGTGTGACTTTGGCACCAAAGCACCATGAAACAATTTTCTGTATTACTGTTATGTGTTGATCCATGTTTCAACTAGGCACAGCTCAATTTCAAGTCAAGAAGACAGAAATCTAGGATAAAATATATACATAAAAAAAAAACAGTAGTTAAAAACAAATGTATTATTAAATATTAGAATTATAACATAAGATTTATTAGCAAGGAATTTTTTTAAATACCTGTGTAAAATTACTGAGCATCACTGTGAACTTATCTCAGAACACTTTAAAAATGGCAGTTCAGCAAGACTCCCCTTGAGAATGGTCTAACCCCCAACTTTTCGTGAAGGGGCATGAACCAACTGAGGAATTATCAGCCACTGCATGCGACAACTCCACTGACACAATATTGGTGGCAGCAAGCTTAAGCTACTTATGCTACCACTACATGTTCCACTCAACACAGGGTGAGGAGTGATAGACAGCTTCTTTGAACCATCTCCAATAAGGAAGAGGTAGTACAAAATTATATATTGTGAGTTTAAGCCTACTTTCAGACCCTACTGGACATCCTTTTCTATGTATTCTTTGCTTTATATATATATATATATATATATATATATAAAATATAATATAATAAAAATAAGTTGTGGAAAAACAATTGTTAGAACATTATCAGAGCATGGTAGAAATGAAGACACGTCTCTTGAGAAGTATGGAGTTTTATCCATATAGTAAAATTACACTTTGACTTTTTGAAAATGAATATCTATTAACTTCATTATTGTCTCTCTATTTTTATATATAAATTTTCTTGCATTCCATTTCTTTAACCAGATAACAATGCATCTGAATGAGGGGAACACAAATACAGGTATATGTAATTCCGTGTAGCTCTACATGTTGTATTATTTAATTATTAATAGTATATTATTAACTTGCTCACTATCAGCGTCTGATTATGAGGCAGGGAAATTTAGTAGTTTGTTACCCTTCATGAACGTATATAATAACTTAAACTTCAGATTGTATTAATTAGTATTACTATAAGCATGTGTAATAAATAAATGACAAAAACAAAGACAAGTGATTAAACATGTTGCATAAAAAATTGGCATAAACTTATAAACTTTAAAGGTAACCTTTAAAGTAGAAATTTTCATTCTCAGACGCAAGCTTACATACATTAATGATACATTTCTTTGTAGCTTACATTATGACTTTTATGCAGCGAAGGTAATGCAATTTAATTGGAGTGTTGGTTATTCATAAAATTTGTGCAAATGAATTTTTTAACACCGAACAATCATGATTAATTACCTATTTAGAAGAATTAAAAAAAAACACTATTTTTTCCTTCCATTCACTTCAAACACTGTGTAATCTTCTTCATCATCGTCACCATCACCTAATGGTTCCATTTCCATATCACCACGATCACCCTGTTGAGTTATTATACCATATTTTCTTGACTTTGTTCTCTTTCTTCTTAATCTGAAATGAAATAATATGGTAAACACTTAAAATTATACAAGGTGCTAAAAATTAATGAAGTAAGAAAAGTTTTTAACAAATCTATATGTTTGTTTACTAAATGTCTTAACCTAGTTAGTAATACATGTCTAAGTAAAAAAGTAATTCAATTTGAAGAGGAAATAACATATAGGTAATATTTTTTTTTTTAAATTTGTTAAACATATATTATAATAATTATAAGTATAAGTATAAGGCAAGGACCTAGGCTATTAAATAAAATTTGACAAAAGTCAACTACATTTATACTTTGCCCACAAGATTTCCCAATTTAATTAACAACTTTATGAACATCAATATTATTGAAAAATTATAGAAATTTATATTTATAATTAACATATATTTTCACATCATAAGAATACACACAGTCTTCAGATTGATCTTAATCTTATTAATTATAATTTTGGTAATATTAGACCACAAACTTTGAGTTTGAATTAAAAGGCATGACATATTACACTTATAAGTTAAAACAGAGAAAATCACTTGAATCTTACCGGACTGCTCGAATAATAAAATAAACTACCACAATACCAGTGACACCCAATGTTACATAAAGAGTCCGCAAAAGCATTTCTTTATTCTCTTTCATCTGTGACAATATGGATTTTGGAAAGTCCTTGTCCATTTCTTTATTTTCTGCACAATTGGAGTTGTTTGTATTAATTGGAAGACTACAATTCACTGAAATTTCAGGTTTTTTATTATTTTCGTCATTTTCTGTAGCTTTGTTGGCCTTGTCATCCTTCTTTGTGCCTTCGTTAACAGAATCAACGGCACTACTTCTAGGGTTTTTTATTACTTCAGCTTCATCTCTTTTATAACGAATGGAATCACCGAGAGTTTTCTGTCCTGCGAAAGTAGTAGGTTGATCATCTGCGTTTCTCAGTGTTAAAGCACAGCTCACTGGTGCGAATGTTAGTGTTGTCAGCAGTGGCAAAATTATAACTAAAAAGCATGTAATTTTGCACATATCTTTCAGCGCAAAATATTTTTTTATGCAATAAGGTTCATTCATTTTAAGAACATCTAACTAAGGCAAGGCAACGTGCTCAGATCAAATAAAACAATAATATTTACTGTTTAATGTTAAGAAACACGAATCAGAAGTGAAACTTCTTTAGCTACACACGCAACAGGCAATTTGTTGTTTTCCAGCTGTCATCTCACTTCCGTTAAATTGTACTGGCCAGATCAATTTTGCATTTCAAGCTGTGTTGTTCGTTCAATTGTCATTTAATGCACTTTAAATTAAAACGTGTAATTACAATTATTTTAAATATACGATATTCCCAGTCAATGCTAAAATATTCATTGATTATATATAAAGGACCATAAATACATCCCCTTTTTTTCTTTTGAGTTTATTCGAGCAAACTAAATCAGAGTTGGCCATGACCGGATACAGATATATTTACAACCACATTTTTATTTTGTAGAGAAGGTGAAGGCTAATAGAAATAAACAGTAGTGAAACGTTTGATTTTAAATGGGATGTGCCAAATTTAGTTACAGTCTTCCGTGTCTATTAATAGCAAGATTATATTTAGTGAGGTTGCAGAGGTATATTTAAATGATATTCATAATCTCAACAAACGATTTTTTTTTCTCCAACCTATAATAATAATAAATGTGTACCAGTGCCAGTGTAGGCGTGGCGTAGATAGATAGAACAGTGGTGAACAGTAGTGACAGTATAAGTAGATCAGATGAGATAGTCTGATAGTCTTCTGATACTGATAGTAATAATTAATAGTAGATTGATATAAAGTTGCTGGTAGGTAGTGGTAGTATAAGAGTAAAGACAAGTATAATAAATATTATCATTAGTTTATATTTTATAATAGTGTATTATATAATAATAAAATAAATAAGCTAAGTAAGTAAGGCTAACTAAGATAGCATATCATCATCATGTCATATTATTATGCTGGCTAAAACAATATCAATAAATATCATATAATATGATTCATCAAATATCTGCATAGGCATGGCAGATGGCATATCAAATATTCATAATCTTATACTCTTAAAATTATAGTGATAGTATACATACATACATAGTATGATAGTATGTTATTATGTAGACAATGATGTAGAATGTAGTCAAAAAGGAACAGTTTGGCAACACAGTTTACACAGTCACTGCTAACTTCTAGTTAAAAGTTTCAATAAGCCTATAATTTGTAATAACATTAATATAAATTTATGATTATGACTATTATTTACTCTGTTATAAATGAATACAAAAAGAAATATGTCACTGAAATAAAGTATTGTATAATAATTATTTGTATATTATAATTATATACTATACTAATATACATTTGTTTAATATTTACTTTTACTGATTAAAACTGAATTATTCATTAGTAATATTTAATTATTCCACAAAAATTACTGACTGAAATTTAGTACACTTAGCACACATAAATTTTACTTATACCACTATGATTCAATCAAATTTAAAGTTCAGACTCAGATAATTATATTTGTATTTAGTAGCAGATTCAATTAATATTAACCAATTAACATTCAGCAATCATTGGGCCTTGGCCCACTTGAATGTATGCTAAACCTATTCCAGGCCCAATTGTAAAACTAAGTCCTTAGTAAAAGTTAGTAAGACTTTATTTAATTTAAGTCTATAAAAGAGGATAACGGGTATAGTCCAAAGTAGAGACCGACCGAAAGTGATTTTCTGATTTCGTCCGAAGCCGATAATAGGCAGCAAGTTTAAAAATAACTTTCGGCCGAAACCGAAAAAAGGCCGAAAGTTAAAAATGACTTTCGGCCAAAACCGAAAATGAAATATTTGGATATTTTGAAATTCGTTCCCGCATACATTCTGCATACATCGAAAATGATGGGGGAAAGTATAAATATTTACATTCTTTTTTATAAAAAATGAGATAATCGTGAATATTAATAAATAAACATCTACTATAGGGGTCTCAAACTCGCAGCCCGCCAACCATTTGTGACCGCAAGATGATATTTTGCGGCCCGTTACATGACAGAAAAGTTTATTGTTAATGCGCCGGCTCGTTTCCCCCATTCTCATATCTATAACGTGACTCTCCGCAACGGTTTCAGTCGAGTCTCACCAACAAGTCTAATTCTGATTTTTTTAAATGTTTCTATATATTTTTGTATTATGATTATAATGGTAAGAACCGTTTTAAAATCGGAAATAAAAGTTTCTATTTTATAGCTTTTTATGAGACAAACATGGCAAAGAGTTAGGATTTAAGAAAAGTTTTTAAAAGTAAGTTGGCGGGTAATGCACAACCATAATTGTGTAAATCGTAGCAATCTGTTGCATTATCAAAGGATCCATATTAAAATTGCCGCTAGTGTTTACGAGTGAGGTATAGTCCGAGCCTGTCAGCGTGGTCACTTTCTAAATCTTCTTCTTATGCCTTTTTACCCATTCTGAGTCTCTACATTTTTTAGACTTCAAAAAAACAGACAGCTACTTTTCAGCTTTTTGCTGACTCTTTCTCCTTTACTTTGCAAGATGCCCCGCGCGGGGAGCTGAATGGAAAAATAGACAAGCACGGACATTTTATTGCATTGCCCTTCACCTTCCCTGAAATTATTGTTCTGATCATGGTTCTAAAATATCACTTAATTTGTTCTTAAAGATCCCTTTATTTGTTTCTAAAGATTGTTTAGTTTGTTCTTAAAGACCGCTTAGTTTGTTCTTAAAGATCGCTAAGTTTGTTCTTAAAGATCGCTAAGTTTGTTCTTAAAGATCGTTTAGTTTGTTCTTAAAGAGCGTTCAGTTTGTTGTTAAAGAGCGTTCAGTTTTTTGTTATTGATCACTTTATTTGTTTTAAAGAACGTTTTAGTTTGTTAATAAATACAATCGCTTAGTTTGTTCTAAAAGAGCGCTTAGTTTGTTATTAAAGAGCGTTCAGTTTGTTGTTAAAGAGCGTTCAGTTTTTTGTTATTGATCACTTTATTTGTTTTAAAGAACGTTTTAGTTTGTTCATAAAGATTGCCTGGTTTGTTGTTAAAGATCGTTCAGTTTTTTGTTAATGATCTTATTTGCTTGTAAAGATCATTGATTTTGTTCTTAAATATCGCTTAATTGTTCTTAAAGATCATAAGGTTTGTTTTTATAGATCTTTTAGTTTGTTATACAAAATCATTTAGTTTGTTCTTAAAGATCTTTTAGTTTTCTGTTAAAGATCGCTTAGTTTATTCTTATAAATCATTTAGTTTACTATTAAAGATAATTTGTTTTGTTCTTAAAGATCATTTAGTTTGTTCTTAAAAATCGTTTAGTTCGTTTCTTTAAGATTGTTTAGTATGTTATTAAAGATCGTTTTAGATTGTCCTAAAGATCGCTTGGTTTGTTTTAAAGATCGTTTATTTTTTCTTAAATGTCGCTTAGTTTGTTGTTAATTATCTTTTAGTTTGTTCTCAAAGATCGCTTAATTTGTTCTTTAAGATCGCTTTATTTGTTTTTAAATATCGCTTTTTTTTAAAGATCGTTTAGTTTGTTCTTAAAAGTCGCTTAATTTGTTCTTAAAGATTGTTTTATTTGTTCTTAAATGTGGCTTAGCTTGTTGTTAAATATCGCTTTTGCTGAGTATTAGATGACTGAAAACCTCAGTCACTTTCGGCCGGATGTCCGAAAGTCTAAGTCAATTTCGGCAGAAAGTTAACTTTTCAGTTTCGGCTGAAACTGAAACTTGACGAAAGTAATAAAATGGCCACTTTCGCGCCGAAACCAAAGCCGAAGCCGAAATTCGGTCGGTCTCTAGTCCAATGGTCAGCAACCTTTTTTGAGTAAAAAGTCATTTTATAACTTACATTTTACTAGGGTTGCCAGGTCTGCTTCCAAAATATAAGGGGGGGGGGGGGGGTGGTAAGTGGAAAAAAAATTGTTAATATAAATGTTAAAAAAGTGGACTGTCTGCTCAAATAGTGTACACCTGGCAACCTTACATTTTAACCTTTTTTGAGTAAAAAGTCATTTTATAACTTACATTTTACTAGGGTTGCCAGGTCTGCTTCCAAAATATAAGGGGGGGGGGGTGGTAGTAAGTGGAAAAAAAATTGTTAATATAAATGTTAAAAAAGTGGACTGTCTGCTCAAATAGTGGACACCTGGCAACCTTACATTTTACATCTGATAAGACTAAGAACTTAATTAGAAAGCTGCAGTAGGGGTGGTTTTAATAATGCAAAGATCCACAGGATGCTCACTGCTGGACTAGTCTATATACACAAAGTATAGACTGATAAAATAGTTTATATTACTTATTTGACATTGAACTTTGTGCTGACGGGCGTAAGGAAAACAATTAATATATGCAATTGATTATTTTTCAGAACCATGCTACAAATTTAACATGATTTCACAGACCCTGATGGTTGAAGATGTTGCTGGTTTTGTGAGGTTTGTCTAAGTAAAGGAATCATGGAGAGATAGTGCAAGGAAAATCAAGTGACTTTTGAAACATTGTTTTTTTCTACTGTAATATCAAATTATTCAGCTTGATGTCAGTTGGATTCCAGTTACCATTATACATGAATTGTGAGAATGTCTTCTAAACCAGTAAATGCTGAAAATGCCCACACCTACAAACTAGTTGTAGTTGGAGATGGTGGTGTGGGAAAATCTGCTCTAACCATTCAGTTTTTTCAGAAATTATTTGTGCAAGATTATGATCCTACAATAGAAGACTCATACATTCAATACACAGAGATTGATGGTGACTGGTGCATCTTAGATGGTAAGTAACACGTTTTTAATTGAAATCCTTTAAAAAGTAATAATTCTTTTTTGTTTTGCATAAATGTTCAAATCTTCCACTGTTTTTCATGATAGAAATTAAATTTGTGACAAATATGTTTGTAATTATTCTTGTTGTAAAATAAAAAATGATAAAAATAAAGGATTAAACATGAAAATACATGTTAGGTTCAAACTTTAAAAAGATGGTACATTTTTAGATTACAGCTACATTGTATATTGCACCTTAAAAAACCTAAACAATTTTATTGGGTACACCATCATGAATCACCTCTAAATTTGAAATTGGGAAATAATTGTAGATTTTTAATTTCACAACAACCGCTTAACTTTTAAGTTGACTGTATCTTCATTAGTAAATAAGTAGACATTTCAAGTTGAATGGGAAACATTGTTGTACAATTGTGTGTTTTTTTATATTGAGTCTACCTCATGAAAACATTCATGCCAGGAATTGTAAGTTACAATTTCATTATAACGTTTTATTAAAATTATTATAAATCAAAGAAAATATTACCACAGGATTTACTGACATCATTAAAAAAAAATGTTTTCATTTTTAGGTTAAGCTCTGAATGGGTTGAACTGATTTGCTGACATGATTTATCTAAGGTATGATCCATGTATCTTTATCAGCTATGTTTCAACATTATTTTGTTTGTTTTCAGTGCTGGATACAGCTGGACAAGAAGAATTTAGCGCCATGAGGGAGCAGTACATGAGGAAAGGAGATGGTTTCTTACTTGTATATTCAGTCACAGATAAACAAAGCTTTGAGAATATCAGTAATTTTCACACACAGATTTTACGAGTGAAAGATAGGTAATAGTGGTATTTTATTTTTTTCTATTCTTAAATCTAAAATTAAATATTTAATTACAATTCTGTATGTATAAATTTACTTTTTCTTTCGTCTCAGAGATAACTTCCCAATGATCATGGCAGCCAATAAGGTTGATCTTCTACATCAAAGGGTTGTTAGTGAAGAGCAAGGACTGCATCTGGCTGCTAACTTAAGGGTAAGCATTGTATACAAAAGTGTTACAGTTTAACATTACCATTGGTATTCTTATGATAACAAACATAGTTAAAATAAAAAGTTTTCCTCTTTGACAGGCCTGCACAAAGTTATAATGCATAAATAATATGCCTTATTCTAATACTTGAAGATTGTCAACTTATACATTTTTTAAATATATATTTCCGTCTTTAAACAAAAGTTCCTTAAAATTATATTAGAATAATAAATTAACTTTGCAAATACAGAACTTTTCCTAACTAGTAAATGAACTGAAAAAAAATGTGTCACTCTTCTTGAAGTCTTTGGTATACTTAATATGTAATAAAGTTAAAGAGTGCTTGTGTTTAAAAGACTGAATAAAGCATTACATGAGAGGTATATATGTCATTATAATATTTTGGAACTTTCCTTTCAGGTGCCATATATTGAAACTAGTGCTAAGGATCCCCCATTGAATGTGGATCTTGCATTCCATGAAGTTGTTCGAGTGATAAGGTAATTGAATATAATATTTGTCAAAATTGTAAGCCAAAATTCTTGTTAAGACAACACTATGTCTTTGTTAAATGGCTATTATTTTTGCTTAAATTAAGTACTATCTTCATTTATTTCCTGTCATACATTAAGAGCAATCTCTCAAATTTTTTGTTGTTGTTATAGTTTGCTCAAAAACAGGGCCTTTGGTGCTGTTTTTACAAGTACAGTACAGGGTTTTAAACATTTGTCTGAGTTAGTCATGTGTTGTAACCAGTAGATTGTAAGACTAAAGAATAAAAAAAATTTTACGCTGACAAAAGATCGAGTATATCTGATATGCATGCATATATAAATAAAGCATATAAATATATATATTACTAATTCACTCTAATATTTTATTTAAAAGAATACCTCGCAGACAGAAGAGAGTTCTCCTTGCAACCCCAAATTAATTATTTTAAAATAATTGTCCTGGTTTTAATTGGAAAATTTAAGATTTTTTAAATGGCCTTGTTTTAAATTTGAAAAAATGTTCCCATAATCATTTAGTTTTACCTTTTTTAAAATTTATTTTTAATAAATTCATTTAGACGTCTGCCATCACCTAAGAAAAAGAAAAAGACTTCTGGAGGCTGGCGATGTGTTGTGCTGTAATCTGGATTAGGGCCTTTTCTTTTAGCTAAACTTTAGCACGTTTTCCCAGGATTGCTGTAAATAATTATGATTGGGCTCTTGATTCTAAATTAATATAAATATTGATTCATTTTATCTTAGAAAACTGCTTTGAAAATTATTAAGAAAATACCTAGTCAAATGATTTGAATTTGAGACTGTATTCTTTGATGTAATGGCTCAGAATTTACCTCCCATATATGAAATGTTACATGGCAAAAATAATTAAATATAGTTATAAGATGTTTATGTTGAAATGGGTATTCAAATTTTGAAAGCTCTGTCGACAAATTAAACTTTCAAAGTTTACTAAATAAATATTTTGATTCAAATATTGCACATTATGTTTACCGTTAGCAATATATTTTTGTTCCCATTTTCAGTTGAATTGCATTCCTTAAATATATTTTCAAATTCAGGCTTAACAATATTGTTTTATGTTGCTTTTGACCATTGAAAAGATAATTTGTGATATATGAACTTGCCAGTCATGAGATGTCAATAATTTTTCTGAGCTCAAGATGTATTTTTTAAATATTATGTTTTCAAGTGATTTTTACTGTATATTCCGAACTATTCCAGAGGGTAAGAAATATATTCAGTACCTTATTCTTAATCTCATGGTCTGCCTTCTTAGTTAAGGATGCGTCAGACTTTTTCAGGCCCCCTTTTTTTTTTCAAGAAGAGTGTCCCATTTTTTTTCCAGTTCCTTTACAATTTATGAAGTATGTGCTTAGTAACTTTATTATTCCTGGGCATGGACAAAAAGTATACTATGTAATGAATGTTTAAGTTTAAGTTCTAAGAGACTGCTTTATTAGATAAGTGTAATATGATAATGATGCATCATTTTTATTTAGGTTGTGTTAAGATTGTGTTATTGCACATTATATTCCATTTGTTGGCACTTTTTTATTTTTTAAAAACATTTACATTGCTTAATTTTTAAAATGTTGAGTTTTTTTCTTTCTTTTATCTTAGAAATTAACTACCTTTTAAAAGTACTAACAATGAAACAATTTTAACAGCAACAATGGGTACTGGCAAAAACTTTCTATAATAAAAGTTTAATAAAATTATTATTCTTTAGTTTAGCTTTTTTTTAAACATCAAATGAATGTCTTTTCCTAAATCATCTGATTAAATGATTTTGATTTCAACCTAGGAGGGAGCAATGGTTATTTAGTTTTTAAGAAATTGTTGGTGGATATCTGCAGTTAGTGGTGTAAAATATTTTTATTTTTTTTTACAATTACTGAAACGGGTGTCTAATTTATCAGTTTTAAATTTGGTTAGATCTATATTTGATATGTGCTTAACTCCACGGCATGCAAATGTTGTTAACATTTTAATGGTTTACTCTTAATAAAACAGTAATAATCTACGCTTTATTTAATGGCACTCATTGTATTTAAATTAGATAAGCAAATCTCATCATTGTTAAAACACAGGCTGTTACTTATTTTATGTTTGTACATATTTTATGATAACCCATGACTGTGGAAGATTTAGATATGGTATAGGCCTTACACTAAAACAAAATATTTTTTGTCCCCACAACAAAACACCAATGTTCCCTCTAAGGTTTGTTGGTTCGTGTGCAAAATGATAAAGTTGTGTGCAAATTTTTACAGCATCAATTTTTTTGTGCATCAATTTTACAGCCTACAGACACAAACACACACTTAAGTTGAAATTAGCTGCCGGTACTCAAACTGCTGTGTGGCGTCTGTTAGATTGATGCGCAGTCGCGCAGCTTAAAGGGAACATTGCATAACACTCTTGCTTTTTGCTATAACGATAGTTTGTAAAGAATTTTTTTTTTACTGGCACGTGTGGTGCTAAATATAAAACTATTACTGGGCAATGGTAAACATTTGAGATATACACCCCCCCCACCACCTTGCCAATCTGTTAATACTTTTATAATGTGCTATCTTCTCTCAGCAGTAATAAATTTTGCAAATCTCTCATAATAACTTGCCAGTTAATCATATGGTTGTAATAAAAACGATTGACCATCATTTGCCCCAGACCTAACAAACATTATTGAATATGTTAAAGGTTTAAAAATAAATAAATTCACAACACGGGAGAAATATATCTAAAAAAAACCAGTGATGCAATAATTTTGCATGTTTTATTGAGTGAAGTTATTAAATAAACAGCTTCAAACTTTTTAATATTCTTTGGATTGTGTGGAATCAATGGTAATGGAAGTTATTTGTTACAAGTGTATAAGGTTCTTTTTTAAATTAAAATCATTATGGCCTATATAATCCTATGGATGGTGAATTTTTGAAAAATGGTTTAATTGAATGGATAATCTAAAAGTGTACCATAATTTAAATTATTTGAAAAAGTTCAGTGATGTAATTAGAGATGTGCTAAAGCTGGTACTTTTAAATTTGCAGGATTTTTTACTATATTATTATAGTCTTTGTAGTACAACAAATGTGAATTTGACATATTTGTAGATTTTGTTTGTTATATTGCTGTAGTGGTGTGTCATTACTTTGATAGACTAACATAAATGTATATATTTTGACAACTTTACTGTATATTGAAGCTGTGTGATGTAAAACTTTTTCTTTTTATAAATGCATACTTTTTGTAGAGCAATTATAGAGAACAGTCAAGAGAGAAAAGAAATCATGAACAAAATATACTGGTTTTCTTATTTAAAAACTCTAGAGACTTCTCTAAATTCTTATCTCACTATACAGCTTTGATTAGAGGTTATTTTTTCTGGGTGGTGCCTTATTGCATGTATCTTAACCAGAAAGTGATTCAGATGTAACAAGAATGTAATTAATAGTTCCTCACAGTTTATTCAAATGTCATAAGACAATGTTTTTAAAAGTACCTACCAGTATATTTACGCCATTATGGGGTAATGCTTTTGAAGTACATCTTTAAAAAAGAACAACTAACAAAGTGAAACAAAACAAACCAAACATCTATTTTAGAAAGGGTACACTATTTATTCGTGTACTTTTGTTGTTGTTGTGCTGCGTTCACCTGAAGTCATGCAGTGTTACAGATTAAAGGAGGTGTGTGCAATGTTGAGCTGTCTGCCCATCCTTTTGAGGCTTAGATTGTTGTGAAAACCCATTCCTTTTTTTATGTTAGCTAAAATATTACTTTGCTAACACTCAAGCTTCAAAAATTTTAAAGACCTGATGACGACGGCACTTTCATTGCTTTTCATTGAAGCTGTTCGTAGATCTTCATTTGGGTGCTGAATAAATTATCGTTAAAACTGATAAAATTGATGTTTATATCATTTTCACTTAACAGAAGTTTATACTTTCATTTTGTAATATACAAACTATGTTTGTTGTAAAAAAAAAAAGGTATTTAAACGTTCCACCTCATATTTGAAAACTGGCATTAAGTGAGGTAAAAGATTTTTTCCTCCACATTTATTTTATTGATCAAAACCATTTCTTGTCCATACTATTCTTAAAGATCTGAGTAATTTTTTAAATTAAATAATACCATGAACTTAAGGAAGAGAATGGCAAATATTTAATTAATTAAATGTGTATGTTCTTGACTGAGGTGATATCATGTTACTTATAGTTATAGCTCTAGATGGCACATTCCATCATGCTTGGCTCTTTTCCATGGACATGATTCTAGTGATTTTGAACTGATGTTGTTATCAAATTGTTACATGTTTAATAACTGTTTTATTGTTACATGTTACAGGCACACCATAGTATGACTTTAACTTCATTGATCATTTCACACAATAATTACATGGTATGGTTTACTTATTTTTTCTTTTTTTTTTGTAGTTGTGTTTATATAGTTTTCTTACATGTAATGCTCCACACAATGTTTTTTAATTTTTTTAACATTTTTTTTATACAAAATGAATTTTAAATTACAAACTTATCTTAACAAGGAAAATAAACTGTCTAAAGCAAAATGGACATGACATTTGAAGATGATGATGGGAAAATTAATTTGATTGTTTTTATTTTATCTTAAAAAATTCAAACCTTTTATAATTTTCCATTACATAATTTCATTTTCCATTTCAAAAATAAGTTTTCATACTTTTTTAAATTACATTTACTCCTTAATTGAATAGCATTGATTCATGTTTACTTTTTGCAAAATGCCTTTTAAAAACTGTTTTCTTTTTTAAACTTTTACCAACTTCACCCTAAGAAAATACTTTTTAATAAAGAAATTCTTATATTCAAACTTTCAGCCCTATTATTATTTTGAATAGTCAATATAAGAAGAATTTTTAAAAATTAAAAAAAATTTTGGGGCGTAATGTTTAAAGGGACTAACTCAGTGTTGATTAAAGGATGTGGTGCAAGAGCATGGCATAGATCCGTCCATCCTTCCATGTGGCGGTACAGCCTGTGTAGGGCTTTGGCCTGACTCGCCACTTCCTTCCACTCAGACCTAACTGATGCTTTTCTTCTTCATTCTTGGATTCCCAGCTGCTGTAGATCTTTTTTAAAATCATTCATCCATCTAAGCCTAGGTCTCCCTTTGATCCATTTTCTGGTTTTGGTGGTGTACCCTCTTCACTCTAAGTGTCCTGCCCAGCGTAGCCTACCCTTTTTTGTTTTAGCTATTATCATGGGATCCTGATAGTCTATAAAATTCCTGGTTGGTTCGTATTCTCCATCCATGTTCATCCTGTGTTGTTCCGTATATTTTCCAGAGAATAGACTGGCAACCAAACAAAAAAAAAATATTAAAAAATCTTCAGCTGTATACACAATTTGTTTTATTATAAGGAAATGTGTTGTTAAAATGACATTTTAATCACATTATTATCATGTGTATCCAGAGCAAGTCTTGTTCTCTGGCCCTCTGAAAATCTTACACTGTAGAGCATACAAAAATCTAACCACTCTTAAATCATGATGACATTAATTTCTTCCATAAAATATATAAAATACATATTTTTGTCAAACTCGATCCTTTAGATCAGGGGTCGCGAATCTATGGCTCGCGAGCCAGGTGTGGCTCTATTGATGGCTGCATCTGGTTCGCAGACAAATGTTCGATTCTTAAAAAAAAAAACGTTGCATTAATGGTAAGAAATACTCATTATTGATTAGCAACAGCATAACAATGTTATTAAAAAGAATTCAGAGACATTATTGCAATTTTAGTGTTGAAATTACACAAAATGCACAAATTTTCTTGAATTTTTAGTTTTAAACATAATGTATGGCTCTTACGGAATTACTTTTCAAAATATGTGGTATCTATGGCTCTCTCAGACAAAAAGGTTCCCGACCCCTGCCTTAGATCTATGTTACAAAACATGAATATAAAAAAAAAAAAAAAAAAAAAAGCAGAATCGTTAGATATTCTTCACTTTAGTTACCTGAGGCTTGAGAACAGCCCACAAATATGTCTATAGATATTGGTACAACAACAACAACCCCCCCCCCCCTTTCAGTAAATTCATTTGAAGCCTAAATTATAATTTAAGTTTTTACCTTGTCTTCATCTGATCAAAGCTCCGGTGTACATTCAAGCATAACAAATTTTTGCTCAGACATATTCAAAATATGGTAAAAAGTTCTTTGCAAGGCTATCTATCAATGGATGAAATATGCATACAACTTTTCTGTGCAAGGGTCATGAAATAAATAAGGCATATTAAAGGACATATTGCATTACTAGTTGATGGATTGATTTGAGTTTAAGGCTCTGCTTTCACAATAATGGGCAGCAGGTAGTCTGAAATTTAAAAAAAAAAAATAATCTGTGTCATGCCAAAGACATACACTTGGATTTCGTTTTTCAAACTTTTAAAATGTATTTTAATCTGTGATTAAAAAAAGTAATGTTTTTTGGGTAAGCTTAGACATAAACTTGAGTATTTATGCAAAATTCTAAACATTACTGCTTTTATAACTGAACTAATGAACTAAAATTCAAGTCAAGTTTCAAAAAACAACAAACAACGCTCAAACAACAACTCCTAGAGACAAATGTAAAATGCGTTGTTGGGGGAAATCTTTGCATGAAAAGAGAAATAGGTAATGAAATTTTAGTCAATTACCCCTGGTAATTTAAATGAATGAGTTTGCTATAATTGAATTCACAACTTTGTTTAAATGACTACTCATAATAACAAGAACATAAAAGATTTATTTACAACCCAACATTAATATTGATTCTTGGAATATCTTTGACACTCAATTTACAAGCTTGAGAAATAATTTCCATGAAATACAATGAAAGAAAAATGGTTTAAATCAAACTTGTCAACCCCCCCCCCCCCACAAAAAAAACAAAAAAAAAAAAAAACAAAAAAAACAAAGAAAGAAAAAAGGGTTAAAAAAAAATTGTCAACCCCCCCCCCCCCCAATGAAAGAAACAAAAAAAGAAGTTTCATAAAAAATCTAAAAATTGATAATCATTATTATTACTGTACATTAACCAATGCACTTAAATTTTAAATCCCCCAAATTAATATTCTAACATGCACAAATACTGATGAAAATGCATAATTGTGTCAATTTCTGAAATGCAGGCTATTTATATGAGTTAACATGTTTTATATATAAATATTATAAATTCAATAATGAAAAAAATATATTGGAAGAATTTGAACATTAAGCTCTCATACACTAACACTTTTGACCAAACATATAATTTGTATTATTATACAAATTTCTTAAGTTTTATAAAAACCTTAATTTTATTAAATATCACAGTCTTTGGATAGAGGGCAGTCAAAACTGGTCGTTACAAGCAGCAGCTAAATTAAATTTTGCATTCTCCAGACAAGAAACAAAATTATGATTGAAATTTTTCTATAATCTTGCGGTCCAAATCAACATGGTCCCATAGCAGGGAGCCCTAAAAGCTAGAAGTAAATACAGTTATTATGAGCTTTGCATCACACTGTTATGATCCAGATGGCACGTCTAAGTTCCCTATGCACCTGAAATGTTAATTAAAATAGGAGTCATTGATAAAAAAAAGCAAATGAGATAATGAGAGTTAATTTGTCTCTAGTAAAAATTTAGCAAAAAATATTTTCTAAATGCCAACAAAAATTTTATGAATTTGTAAAAGATTAACAAATGAAGTAACTTAATTGCTTATCCTAAAATAACATGATTAACTTACACACATTCCATCTTGCCAACAGAGAAGAGCCTAAATAAATATTCCCTTGACTTGAATGGTTCATGAGTTGATGGCACCAAAAGGTAGTCACCAGGGAGTAAAAAGAACCGTCCTGAAGTTTCCCTGTACTTGGCATAGGTCTCCTCATTTTCTGGCATTAGAGGATCAACTGCTTGAAAAAAGTCAGCTCCCAATGGACTTAAAGGAGCCCCTGGAAGCTATAATTAAGCAATATAAATCAAAAGTATTGAAATTATTTTTTTTTAAATTTTAGAAAGAGGAAAAAAAAAATGTGTTTATAGACCTAAATCATGATCTTATCTAATTACAATTTAAAATGGCAATATTAACACTTCAAAAGTAATACAGGGGTTTTAAAATTTTGAAAAATAAGGAAATAAATAAAAATAATCTTTATTTGGAACACAAAAGGACATTGTATCTTGAATTGATTTTAATGTTCAACATTATTTTTAAACCCTAAATACAAAGTAATTGTAATTTAACAGGCTCATTTTTTGTTTGTTCCTCAGTTCTAGCTTTCAAACAGAAGGGATATTTTTATATCCTTCAATGCCACGTCTGGTTAAAATATTTATTTAAATATTTTTAAGTAAAAATTACTTAATATGGTATAAAGGAAAAAAATAAAAATAATTGCAGGCAATATTAAAATTATTAAGAAAAAAAGACTTTTCTCCTTACCTGAAATAGTTCAAAACCTATGGCATAGAGATCATCATTTTCCTGGGATTTAGGTGAACCTCTCCTGTATACCTGTAGGAGGGAGATGACCACTGGAAGGCGGCCATTATATCTTCGTTGGACAAGGACTAAAACAAAAAAAGTTACTCAGAGCTAATAGGCCTACTTCTTAATATACCTATGGAGCTTAAACTTAAATAGTAGCAATAAGATTTAAAAAAAAAAGCATGAAATATGTTAAATATTATGTATATATATATTTTCTTGGTCCAATATTTCCTAATAAATTGAAGTGCTCTCTAAAATTCTAAAATTATTATTTTTTTATGGATGAGCCATGACTTATCTATTTCATAAACTTAATTCAAATAATAAGCAATGCACCAACTGTAAAAGCAGCTTACCATCACTATGTATAATTAAATGGTACTGTGGGTTGAGATGAAATGTTTCACATTCTATCCAGCCACCAGCGTTAAAACCAGATACCCACTGTCCACTGTGCTGCTGATGATATTCTAGAAATGACAACGTCGGAAAATAATCCTTACAAACAATCAAGAAAATTCCCATTCTATATATAAGACAATTTAAAATGGTTCATGAATTTTAATGTGGAGTTTTCGTTGCCACACAATCATAGATTTAAACAAATTGTATAAATAATTTGTTAACATTTCATTTCTATATTTTTAAATTTCTCTCATTAAAGTGCACTAAATTTTGCACTGATATGGCAAGCAAAATCTTTTCAGCCAACCATTCAAATTTAGTTAACTTTCATAGTAAGGCTATCATGTTTTTTCTAGTCAGGTTATTCAATAAGGAGGTTGCCTTCCTTAGCTTTGACCATTCTTTCTTTTTTAACATATTTAATTGGGTGCCCATTAAATCTTCGAAAGGATAAATTTTGCATAGCCACATTTTAAACAAAAAGAAAATTGTTTTCCTACCTGTCTTATCACTTATTCCATCATGGTCAAAGTCAGGAGACATGTTACAGATAATCATGTTGCAATACTCTCTCTTGAAATCATTGAAAGACATCCAGAACTCGCCATCATCTTTGGTTGACAAATTCAGCTCCCTCTTAACTGTTTCTGGGACTCTCTGCCACTCATCACCCCTGTGACAAAACATGACAAATCTATTAATAGTTTTGTTTACTGATGAAGAAAAACATTTCAGGCTTGTAAATTCTTGAGAGAGTCAATTGAAATAAAAAATTAATAAAGTCATTCTGGGCTTGTAAATTCTTGAGAGAGTCAATTGCGATAAAAAATTGATGCATTCATTCCGCAGGGTCTGACTGGTGCATGAGCACGGGCGCCCGCAGGTAGTGGCAAGGTGGGGCACTTGCCCCCCCCCCCTGGATTGATTGGATAAAAAAATTTTAGACAAAAATTTTATTAAAGTAAAGTGAAAATAAAGAGAAACTAGCTAAGCTAATGTCCTGTCCGTTCGTTCACCATACAAATACGCTACAGTAAATTAAAACTATATTAAAACATTACTAAAAAAAAAAAATTTTCCCCCCCCCCCCCCCGGAAATTTTTCCATTTTTTTTGCCCCCCCCCCCCCCCTGTAAAGTTTCTGCGCGCGCCCATGTGCATGAGGTAATGTTCAAGGTGAGCGATATCTGCTTCTTTGGGAGCCTGTCTTCAGGGTCAGGTTTCTTTCTGCTCCGCAAATATTAAGATTTGGTTCGTCTTTAGAGATGATTAAAAATTTTTAATTGTTTAAATTTTTTTGGTTATATTTAGAATAATTTTTTTCTGTCAGTCAGTACTTATATCTCGAATGCACTCACCCATCACACCATTCACCTTGCCATTCAGTATCGCCCCAGGGATTGCGTATACGTATAATTTTAGCTGCTCTGTCAATGTATGGCACTTCCTCTACCCCTGTTATCACATAGGAATGATTTGACACCATACCTCTACTGTCTTTACTTGTCAAGTTCTTTCTGTCCTACATTAGTGAAAAAGCATGATTTATCAACATGGGGGATTTCTTTAGCAAATTTATGTGAAATTCTTTTAAATAAAAAAAATTCATTAGGAAAATAAACTTCTTTAATGAATTTGGAATAGTAAATTAAGGGCTAATATAATAAAAAAAAGAAGTGGAAAGGAGAAGATAATATTATTACTATTATTTATAGGATAAAGAAGCTGTTTTTGTTTAGTATGGGATGTCTCATGAGCGAACAAAAATATTCATCAAAAACATTTTCCATTTTTATGAAACCAAAAATAATAATTTCGTAAAGATATCATATTTTACAGTCACAAATTTAAGTGCAAACATCACTTTAAACTAGTAACTTTTCATAAATTTTCTGTTGCAGTTCTCCAAATAGTTTGTCTACATCTTTTACATTTTCAAATCTTTTGTTAAACATTTTTGAACAGATAATATTATAAGAAAGCATAATTTTAATTAACGTACAAGGCTGAGACACCCTATGACTGCTCCACATTCGAATGCTGCCCGCATAAGATAAAAGTCATCTTCCCTGAGGTCAGCAGGTGTGTACCACTCAGCCAGACCACCTGTCAAATCTGTGTAAGCATCAGCTTCAAAGCCGTATTCAAGCGCTGCATATGATTTATTGAGTCTGAAATATAGTTATGTATAATAGTTGCTATTTTTGTTGGTTAGGTACTTTGGTGGTTTTACACCATGTGTGTATGGGAGATAATGGAATGATAAAGAAAGATGTCTGTTGACTGCCTTTTACTTCCTACAATCAAGATTGTCTAATTATTATTACTAACACTAGAAGATATGCTTACCAACCATTTGTTCCAACTTATTTATGGTAATTTTCAAAATAACTTTCTGCAAGATTTTTACTTTAGCAGTCTAAGAAAGAAATTAATTAAATGTAGGATATCTTAAAAATAATTAGGATATAAATAAAAAATTAATTGAAAGAACAAAACAACAGTTGTGCAGATTTGATATTGCTTTGATAGTTAATGAGTTATTTTTTTAAACTATTGAAAAAAAACAACAAAAAAACAAACTATAAAAATGTTATAAGATCCTTATTTGTTTCATTATTTGATTTTACTTAAGGTTTAAGCCTAATCTGGAATCAAAAATTAACTAAATCTCTTGAACATTTTTGTTTAACACCTAAATTTAGCATGTTGGAAAGCTAGCAGTGCTGAACATCCGGTATCTTGAATGTTTATTAGCATTTGTCAACGGCACAGTGTATAACTCCAGCTTCCATGTCACCATAGAGGTGAAAAGAATTTCATGCTGAGCAGTTATTGTTGCTGGATATGGGTCTTTCACAGAGCAATAATTTCACTCATATGTTAGTTAACATAAAGGGTTAAAGTGAGAAAAGTGGAAAAACAATTCCGAGAGAGATTTTAAAAAAAAACAACTACATTAAATAACACTATTCTGGAAATGTAATCTGTCAATGGAAGAAAAAGTCTGTTTTCCTCGGCTGAGAGACCCATTTTCAAGTACCGCCCAATATTTATTTTTTACCAATGAAATCACATGTGACTTTGAGTTGGTTACCGTTGACAAACAAAGGATGCATTCAAATTGTGAAAGTTTCAGTACTGTTACTTTTGTCCTATACAGCGTATTGTGTTCCAATTTTGGGGAAGCCCTGATTTAAAACTAACTCCAGGTAATAAAGTCTATGGCTTAAAATTGTGATTTATTAAATGTAACAAATATTCATTTTGAAAATATTAAAAAAATATGACACAATAAATTGACAGTCTTACTTGGCATAAGCCTTTTCTACCAAGGACACCCAATATTCATTGGGATCAGATGATCTAGCAAATAAAAGATTGCCGTCCACTGTGGGAAGCAGGTCATCAACGTAGACATCAATCCAGCTGCCAAATTGCCAGAATCTGCAGTGGAAAGTTCCATTGTAACCTGGGGTGCCAAAGCTACTGTCTTCTGGAATAATCTGCCAAAATAGTAGAATCTTATAGTTTGATTATTTATTATACAATAAAAAGCCTACAATTCAAGCTAAAATAATTAATCAATAATATATGATAAGAATATCAAATCTGCACAACTGTTGTTTTGTTCTATCAATCAATTTTTTTATTTAAATCTTAATTATTTTTAAGATATCCTACATTTAATTAATTTCTTTCTTAGACTGCTACAAAAATTGGTATAACTCTTCTTTTTACTCTGATCCTGAAACCACAGTGCCTGGTATTTTAAGCGTGCAATACATGATGAATGACAGGCATTATCATTAAATTTGTTGTTGTGTTGATGGGGATGGCACTAACAATTTGTCGTATTTCTAATTCCAATTATGTTCCTTTCTTGTTTTACCATCAACTTAAATAATGATATGAAATCAATGTTAAGTAAATTCAATGCAACGCAAGCAATACAGACCTTAGAAATGAGCTGGGGTTTTTCAGCTATCACAGAGAGTGTTGAAAGAAACCAGCAGTCGTTGAGATCACCTTGTTTCATATCATGGCGACTTGTGCCATCAGCCACAAGAACAGGATAAAGAGATAACTCCTTGGATTATAAAGAAATATTTTTAAAAATATATTTTTTTTTTGCGTAGCTGGAATTTATTTTAAATAATTATATAGGCCTCATTAATTGATTAATAATAATTGTTTTGGATACAAGGTCCCTACAAAATATATGACAACTTTATTTTAGAAAGGCATAAAGACTTATTATAAAAATTAGGCCAAGACATGTTATTATTATTATTTTTTTTTTACAAAACATTAGGAATTGTTTATCAATATGCCTACTATTTCTTAGATTGATTTTTGGGGGTTAATCAATCAGCTTCTGTTTCTTCACACAATAAATCAGGGTCCCCCAACATTTTTATGTATCCCACCCTATCTAACTGTTTAACTAAGTCTCTGATCCATTAAAAAAATAACAACATTCATTCAAAAACTTTTCAAAATAATTAGTAACATTCTGTCGTAAACAAACAAGTTATTAACTTATTCTAAAGTGCAAAAATCAGAAGCCTACTACTAAGCTTCAGTATTACCTGCTTGTGTGGGAATTCATTGTCTGAGATCTAACACCCATTAAATAGACTAATCAAGAAAGCTATTAATATCACAAAAATGAAATATTCTTCACTTGAAGAACTATTTGAAGAAAAATACTGTTGTAAAACTAAAGATATTTTGCATGATACATCCCACCCTCTTTGTCACAGATACCTAAGATCAGGTTAAAGTGAACTTTTTTTTATTAAAGTTAGGACCGAAAAATAAAAATTATTTTGTTCCCCAGTTCCTACGAATTTACCAGCGTGCTCCCCCCACCCCAAAGCTGTTAACCAAATCTAAAGGATCAATAATTAAATCATTATTGTCACTATTAAGGGTGTTTATTGATGGCTGAGTTCTACATTAGGGAAATAATTTAGATTTTTTGTGTTTTAATCGTTATAATAGTAAAATGTTGCCTTGGTTAAAATATGTATTTATTAATGTGCTGAAAGTGAATGTGTAACGATGTAAATCAAAAAATATTTCCATTTATTTGGACTCTTTATTTTTTTTGTTATTTCATCACAAATTGAACTGTAGAACTTAGAAAATAAACTTGTGACTTATTACATAAAGAATACTGTTAATGAAGAAATTGAAAAAAAAATGTATATCATAATTTAAATATCAATATATCAAATGTCCTTATGATATATATTTTCCTAGCACAACAAAGGCGAGGAAACTAGATGGACAATTTTTATAATTTTTGTGAATTCCCAGAAAATAAATACATTTCTGAAAGTCATTTGCTGAAGTCTTTGGGCTGTTCTCGTGGAATACTTGGGGCTATTCTATAGCATAATGATGCTTACATGGGGTCTTTTCCACACAACTTTCTTGTGGCCCTGTTTGATATTCTTGACACCGATGGAGACATCTTTGGGAGGAAAGTCAGGATCAACAAAGAGCTTCTTGTCTTCAAACTCTTTTCTTTTCTTGTAAGCCTGGATACAAAATTTGTGGGGGAAAATCTTCATTGCATTATTTAGTTATGACAGGTTGTGAGTACCCCCCCCCCTCTCACTTTCCTTCCATCACATAGCAATCCTTCAACTTTCTATCCGCTGCTCTGGTAACTGGTAAGGCTTGATAAAATCACCTTTACCGTACCTAGTGAGAATAAAATTAAACACTGTCTCTCAGATTCATCCTTTGATGTTTTCGAGTCTTTGGGAAAGTTTACGTTAAATTTGCGGATAGAGATGCCCATCACAATTATACATCACGCCACTACACGTACGCAAATCAGCCCCCCACCCCC